TATTCATAGCAACCGTATAAGTCCATTGACTAAGGTTTTATTCATATGGCCTATGCTAATTATATCGTAGTGATTCATAGTTATATTGACCGTTTATATAATAACCAACATATAATTTCATTCATTAAGGTCATACGTATCGGCCTATAGTTATTCATAAGTCCATTGACTAAGGTTATAGTCATATGGCCTATGTTATACATAGCCAATAAATAATTTCATTCATTAAGACCATATTGACTGTTATATAGTAGTCAATATATAATTCTATATATTTTTATTGGTTAATCTGTATTATAATAAATGGGATAACATGATTAAATTTTAGGAATAAAATGTATTCTAGCTTACTTATTAGGAAGGAAAACAAGATGACATTTTTGGACTAAAACTCAAATAAAATTTTCGGAGAGAAACAAAGGGAAAAGTAAAAATACGATTGGAGAGAAATTAAAAGTTTTAACTCTTTATATACCTCTTAAACACAAGTTAAATTGTTAAACAATATTTTTAACTCTCCAAACAAAATAGATACTCTAAACATGAATGCTAACGGATGAATTTAAGATAATTTCTATCCATGGTTTAGGAAGAACGTGCCTAAATCGTACATTAAGCGTGATGATCTGGTAAATATATATTTTTAATTTTCATGATATGATTTCTATTGATTATCCCAACTAGCAATGAACCATGAACCCTATCTTTACAATATATTTTTGCAGTTTTTCCGGGATTCAAAATTTACATATACACAAAAAAAATTATAATTACCATACTTTTGCAGTATAATTGGCCGACAAAAGAGATTCAATTTAACCCCTTTTAACACACTTAGCTCTGTCATTGCTTGTAATTAACCTATAAAAGTCAAGTGTTTCAAAATATTTTTAAGGCACTAAATATGATATCATAAATAAGAAATTACTTGTTTGGATATAATGACATACATGATAATAAATAATTGTGTGTTTCGTCAAAAATGTTGATAGATATAGTTTTTTATTAAAATGGTTTAAACATCGTTAAATTAAATCAATTTAAAAAATTTCATATTTTCCACTACAAAAAAGTATAGAGTTGAAGATAGTTTTTTTTAACTAACAACTATAGTATTGTTTGTTAGTTTTAATAAATAGCAAAAAGTTTATTTAATTATTGATATATAATAAAACTTTTAATCATGGGGCTTTGCTTGTTAGCAAACAATTTAATCTTGTGGTATTTTGTACTCCTAGTAATGTAATAAAAAAAATTAAAGTGTAAATAAATTTCAAATAATATATTTTCGTGGTTGTTAAATATTTTTTTATCATTGATAAGATACTTAATTATCAAACAATTCAACTTTGTTTTTTTTTTATTCCTTTTCAAAGTTGAACGAAAAAATAAGCGGCAAGTTTGCTTCCTTTTTGTTTTGTTCTTTTTTTTTGTTTTCCCAAATACCTCTTTTTAATTTCCCTTCTGCCGCCACTGTAGTCCCACTCCCAAGTCCCACCCCCTTCTTCCCCATTTCTCCTCATTGTGATCTTTATCCAATCATCCTCCACTTTCAACCAAGAAGTTGTGAGTTCGAGTCACCCCAAGAGCAAGGTGGGGAGTTCTTGAAGGGAAGGATGCCGAGGGTCATTTGGAAACAGCCTCCTTACCTCAGGTTAGGGGTAAGATCTGCGTACACACTACCTTCCCCAGACCCACTAGTGAAATTATACTGGGTTATTGTTGTTGTTGTATCCAATCATCCTCCATAATCCAAAATTTGCACCCATGATAGATCATTTCTCTCTCACACACATACACACAATCCAAAATGTTTAATTTTCTTCAAAACCTTTTCTATTTAACAACTTTAAGAGACTAAATTTGTAATGCTGTGTGTTTTTAGATCCAACACCACTTCTACTTTGGTACAAATCTGCGGTATATAACATTATCTCTAGTGCATTCTTTATGGTGCATTTCTAGGAATCTCCTTTCCTTCCATTTATTAGGCATTGTAAATTTGGGTTTCTCCTCAGGATATATTGTGTTTATGTAGTAGTGGTTTCTTATTTAATTTAAATAATATGAAAAAGATTTGAAGATATTTTGTTTATTATTTTTGAGAGTTCAAGTACTCAAAATTTTACATCGCTTACTCTGAATTTTTATGATTATTTGCAGCCAAAGATGAATCAAAATTTTTATTGTGCAACTTCAAGTAAGTATTTTTTTTCTTTTACCTGTATTCATCTCTCATTCTATTATTTGCTTCACTAATTAATACATAATTTATAGTTAAAGTTTTAAAATATATTTTTATCATGACATAAAAAAGTATGTACTTAATTATAACTTTTGTTTTTCGCAGGTACAAGAACGTGAAAATTTATTCAAGAGTATTTATTAGACGGCTGGTTACATTAGCAAATTGAGGAAGCAACATACGTCCATCTCTTTTTAATTTATCAATATTCTTCTATCTCTATTAGACTTTCATGTTGGATAGATTTTACTTAATTTCTGTGTTTTAATTTATGAAGTTTGTAATGAGATATTATCTCAATATAGTATTAATTGTTTTTAATTATACGATCATGGATGGAAATTTTTGTTACCTTGCACGTTCTGTTATGTTACTTTCAATTCGCCTACTAATAAATTCACAAATTAGTGAAAAACTAGGTAAATACTAATTATCAATAGTACCACTATGAATTTAAATGACATCAAATATTTATAATTAGTGAAAACATATTTTACATTAGTTTGTCACAAATTGACTGCATTTAGTGACAAAAATAAAACTTGTATGAGAATCACCTATATTGGTCACGGATTAACGTTTTATTTTATGACAATTGAAATTGTCATTAATCATAGTAATAATTTTATTTTCTCAGTAACAAGTAATATTTTTAGTGACGACATAATAATTTTTAACTACAAAATTATAATCATTTTTAGAAAAGCAAAGTTGTCACAAATTCATATATTTAGGGACAAAAGACTTTTTTGTATATAAAAGGCGATCATTAGTGACAAAATTATAGTTGTTTAACCACGAAATATGTATAACTTTGGAGACAATTGGTATTGTCACTAATTAAACTAAACGATTAATGACAATCAGCATTAATAACTTTTTCAGTGACGAAAACAAACAATCAACTCCAATTTTTAAATAGTTTCTCCGACAAACGAGTTTGTCGCAAATACTATGTATTTGAGGACGAAAACAAATTCCGTTGTTAATCTAACTTTTTTTGGCGACGAAGCACTAAGTTGTCTTTGTATACTTTTAGTGGCCCAGTTTAAAAGATGAACTATTGACAATTTTTTTTTTCGTCACAAAAAATCTTTTGTGACGAAATATGAGTATTAAGTGACAATAATTTATCATTGATAATCAAATTTGTTGTAGTGGTAGTTTAAATATACACGTGTTTCCTCTAGTATACTATGTGTATATTTTAATGTATTTCATTTGGTATAGTATGTGTATATGTGCATTGAATGCTTTATGGAAAATGAAATAGTCATGCATGTGTATATGTGAAAGAAGCCTTGAGAAGGTAATACAATTAAAATAATGAGAGAGAGTTGTTTGAAAAAATTGAATTAAAATAAAAATCTGCTAAAAGGTAGAGATGAAAAATAAAAATGCACAATTATCCATTATACCCTCAAAAGTCGTGTGAAGTTATTATAATGCCCCCATTCTGGACATTTGGGCCATTGTTAGCGGGGCCAAATATATTTTTCGATTTTCTATTACATCTCAATATTATTATTCAAAATAGATTAACTTTCTACTTTGTTATAGTTTAATTTTATTTCTGTAGTTTGAAAAAAAAAACAATTTCATGGTAGTCCTAGCTCTTAGAGACGGATCCAGGATGTAAATTTTATAAGCTCAACCTTTAAGATTTTTCGTATTTAACTTATTATATTTTTAAATTTATGGGTTCATATCTGCAATTTGTTGCTATTTTAGTGAACTTTTGTATATAAATGTGTGTTCCGTGTTGAAAATTATTGGTTCAATTGTACCCGTTAGTATAGCACTACATCCGCCCTTACTAGCTCTAGAGGTAGCGTAACTCTTATGGTTATTTTAAATCATAAGTAAAAGTAAAGAGATAAATTTAAACTTTTCTTCTTAGTATTTTCATACGGTGTAATCCACATATTTCAAAAAGAGTTATGTTAATGGCAAGAGCAAATATGAGATGATTTGCTAATAAGAATGGTATAAATTAACCAAAAAAATAACGTATACTTTGCACGGAGTGACCTTCCTCGCGTCTGGTAGAAATCTACAGTATATAACGTATAATGACCACTAGAAATTATTTGCAGTGATACAAAATATTTGGAATCACATATGCAGTTAACTTTGAATCTAGGGTTGGAGAATAAAGATAACTTAGTTTTTATTTTTTTTTACCTTTTCTATTAAATATTAAATATTTAAATTGAATTTAATTATAATTTAGCTCACAGGTCGGCCCAGGCCTAGCCTCAATCAAGCCTCAAGGGCTAGCGGATTGATTTGTATCGGGTTTATAAGCCTCAATTTCAAATGGGCTCGAAAAATCTACCTCAATCCTATCCTAATAGCGGGCTGGGTTGAGTTGGCTCTACGGACCAAATCTATTTTCACGGCTATTAGTATATACTGTAATCATGAAATCACAAGTGAAACATAAAAATATTATAATGCATATCTTTATTGATTTACTATGAAAAGAATAAGAAAATTCTTTATTAACTTACCATATATCAAGTGATATCTAATATGAAATATTATAATGCATATAAATATAGTAAGAGAGGAAATCATAATAAATGGTATTCTTAACTCCCACCAGCAAGGTGGATTTTTTGACTAAAAAATATGATTGCCTTAATTTTTTTAAGTTATTACAATTTTTGGCCAATGGTCACCTAAAAAAGGCTATAAAATGGTGGTGATTACTGGTTGGGTAGATCTATCAGTGAAATAAAAGAGTTTTAGAAAAGAAATGACAATTCTTAAATTTATTCTTCTAATTATTAGTGTTGTGGCAACTTTGTTTTCCATAGCTTTGGCTATACCAGGGACTGCATCATTTTACTACAATTTACCATATGTTTGTAAGTTTCTGCTTTTCCTTTCAATTTATTGCTCTCTAAATTTTATTAGACCCAAAAGAAAAAACATTATTCGAATGACCAAGCATTTTGTTCAATTGAGCAACAATTCGAAGGACCTAGCATATAACTAATCCGAACTTATTTGATACTGAAACGTAATTATTATTGTTATTACAGCTTCGGTATGTTTCGGAAACACATCCCAAGGTACCCTTGTAGCATCGAGTGATCAACTCGGGGATGAATTTCGGTGTGGAACATTATTAAAGGTCACATGCACTGGTCCAGTGCCAAAGCCTTGCACTGGCAAAAGCGTTGTGGTAAAAATTGTTCATACTTGCCCTGGATGTGGTGTAACCATGGATCTCTCTAAAGAAGCATTTGCAGTCATTGCTACTCCTGTCACGGTCGAAAATATTATTAAGATCGACTACGTCAAGTAAGTAACTATATATATCCAAAATATGAAATTCAGTTAAACCATTTAGTTATATGTCATATTTGTCACTGAGTATATTGTTCTATAATTGTCAGGGTGTCATGAGAGGGCATCAAAGATGGCACGTGGAATTCCAATCTATACTGCTAGCATATCGAAGTATACTCTATTGTGAAGCTAATTTAATTAATAATCCACAACTTGATGCATGTATTTGATCACATAGAATAAAAGTTCATCGTTTCCTTTTCTCTTTGTACTATGATGGAAAATAATTTGAGTAACGTTTTATCAAGCGCATGCCATTTATCGTATAATCATATCATAATATCTTGATAATCAGATACAAGAGGTAATCCAGAAGTTCATATTAGAATTTTTTTTGGTAAGTAAAAAATTTATTTACTTATTAAACTTTACAAAAAGAAAGAAAAACAAAAAAGAGTACTAAGCACAACTAACTCAGAAACTCTATCTACAGTTATACTACTAGCCTCTTTACTACAGCAGCTCTACCATTACATTAAGGATAAAAATTCAAATGCTTTTAAAGTTTTATTAAACCACTTAATTAAGACAGATATATACTAATACGAATATTTGTTTAAAAAGTAAATGCTTCTTGTTTTTCTAAAATGCCAGATATTATGAAACAAATTTAGTTAATTAATTGGCTATCGGGACTTTCACCTTATTTATTAGGGCTCGATTCTCCATCATATCATTCCCTCGGTATAAGAAATTAGCTCGCTAAAAAGAAAGTAATGGATTTCATGGCGACAAACAAAGGTCACCACAGAATGATCCCAAGTTTCAGTAGTATAATTGACCATTTCTCCACTGTACCATGATGAGATAGTAATTATTGAAGTATTTAATCAGGGGCGGAGGCACAAGTCAAGCTATGAGTTTGGTTCAAACCTAGTAACTTTTTCTTAAATAGAGTATTTAATGTTTAGAATTTATTAAATATGTAAAAATATAAAATTTAAAATTTAGTCACTAATACTTGAAATCGTCGTTCTAAAATGCAGATGTCGTAAGGTTGAAATCCTAACTCCGCCTCTGTATTTAACCCTTCATGAATTTTACCTAGAGCGACTTGAATGTCCTTAAGGACAACAATCGCTCCCAAATGCGCACACACGTATACGTGGTCGTACAAGTAATAAAATGATAAGTCGAGTATCGAACCCACTAAATTCACCAAGATTGTTATTCAGTCGAGTCAATCAGAGTTCAAAAGTGTGATTATACTAAACAATAATTCTAACTAGTAACTAAATTATCAAGCAGCAAAATGGTTGTTGGGTATTCAGTAGAGACGAATATTCTAGGGTTGTGATCGATTCACCAATCCTATTGTGCTCTAGTTAACTCTCCCTTTCATACAATTCATTCGTGGTTGCTAATTAATCGAATAATTGCTCTCGTAGTATTCTCTATTCGTGTATTCAAAATAGATTAATGTCTATATTCCTATGGAATCAATCTATTAAGAACGCATTAAGATTACAATATTTAATTAAGCACGATGACTAGGTATATTCCTATCCTAACCATAAATCTGCCCCTTTCAGAGCTAAGATCATGATCTCTTCAATTCTTCTCTAATCTAAATATGGCTTTCCCAAGCATATCATAGATAATAAATAGAACCTGACTGTTGGTCAGACAATTAAGCAATTAATTACAAAATTGAAGAAACAACCATATATTGGTGAATTGTAATTAAGGTTAAGTCAACTTTAAACAACAATATTCATGGCTAAATCACAACCCCAAAACTATGGGTTTTAGCCACTTATGATAATATCAAAACTAATTCACAAGTGTTGAATAATCAAAAATACTAAGAAAAGATGAAGAAAACTGAGATATCCTCGCTCCCCGATGTTCCCCGTGTGTATTTTTCCTTCAAAGTAGAGTCACCCCCCTCAAAATAGGCTTAGTCTTGCTTTTATACATGTTAGGTAGGTCTTGGGCCGAAATAACCTTGTCCCGAGCAAAGTTGGAGAAGCTTCCCATCACCAGCGCCCAGGGTAGCGTGGGGCGCTGGAAAAATCAACTTTCTGGAAATTGCGCCACAGGTAGTGCCCTACGGTGCCTGTGGCGCTACAATGGCTAATTTTCAACCTTTTGCTTCTTTTCGACTCTAATCTCGCACCTTTCGCCCCTATTGCCTCCGGATGATTCCTACATATAAAAATACCACGAATAAGCATAAACCAATATATTTCACATCCGAAATCTACGAAACATGAGTAAAATATGAGGCGATATACATATAAATATATATACTTTAAGCAAAATATCAACACCCCACACTTAAATTATTGCTCGCCATCGAGTGATGAGACTATCAACCACACCCCAACATCATACACATCTCGACTAGAGAGGAGCACTTCAATTTTTAACTCTACACTCTACCCTTGACTATGATCGATACCGACAATCAAGGATGAATATACAAATTTCACATTCTTCCCGTTTTAAACATGCCCAAGTATATCATTTCAATTCAATCAATTCAAACAACCTATCTATTACCACCCCACCTCAAGAGCCGACTCGTTACCCCTAAGCACTCTCAACTCGCGCACTCACCCAACAAAAGAAGTTTACAACATCACTAATCCTTCATGAGATCATGTGCCTCACCAACAAATAAAAGAGTGAATATAGAGTAGTCCACACATTCAAGTATGCCTTTGAACATAATTTAAGGACATCACACAATTGAACAAAATTCGCTCACTCTCATAAAGAATTTCATTTGCATCCCGTAGTCGTACCATAAGCTTGCCCGTAGTATACATCTCTACTAATCTAAGCTAGCCAAATCTAGGATCAATTAGGACTATAAGGTTGTAATGTAGGCTAATGACCGGGTATGATATATTTAGGAATATTGACTAACCCTCCTAAGAACTTTAATACACTACAATCACAAACCAAGTACATATTCTTCGCAACTAATTCACTCGCCACAGAACATATACAATATAGCCCCTTTTTCAATGAAGTACTTCTATACTCCCACTAGCACAATTTAGTCGGATTAGGAGATGTGTTTCTCTACATCATTTGAACTATTATTTTTTTTTCTTCTTGCAATTTTTTCTTTTTCTCTTTATTTCTTTTCCTACACACACTCCATACATTAATGTACATCAGCTAGTGCCTTTTGTTTTTTCCACAACTTTGGTGTACCTTAAGGTCCCCTTCCATGGTTCCACTCGAAAGCTACTCCCCAATCTCTCGCCTTACTTCTTTTAGCGACTAAGTACCTTAGGAGGTAAATGTTCAATAATCTCAAATTAAGAACAAAATAGGGGTACGACTTGTAATGTGGCTGCCAAAGAAAAGGTCTATAGGCTCAAAGGGGCTAGCAACAGAAAATTTTATTTTTAAGTGACAAGCACATCTATGATCAATCAAGAAACTCCTACGTCATCTCCTAGACTAGCACAACTTAATGATTTCGCTTCGATTAACACACGGGGCAAGTTTTAGACTACACAGGATAGCACAGAAAATCACAAATCCTCACACACACATTGCACATGACTCAATCAAGACGGTTATGTTCAACTCTCAAGTCAAGCAAGCACATATAGTTGAGAAATTTTAAGAAATAATGCATTATGTGGCATGCAAGTCAAACAACTGAGAAAAGGCATCACAAAATAGGATATTTATTTTACTCGGGCATCACAATTCAAATCAAACGCACGGAAAGACAGAGTACATGCCATAACCTAATATGTCAGCACCAAACACGTCATTAGGCACCTCAGAGCAACTCAGTTTCTTCCTAACCTACTCCTAAAAATATAAAGTACCCGGTTCGAGCTACACCCTTGGAAAAGAACCGGCGCCCAAAGAAAAACCAAGGGATACTACCTAACTATCCTAAAAATAATATTTTGGTATTTTTAGTCGGACTTAATCCCTTAAAAAAAATATCCAATAAATCCATCATCGGGAAAAGTCCAAGCTTTTTAATTTTTTTTTCTATTTTCTTTTTTTCTTTTCTTTCTAAAAAAACCCAGACTAAGTAAAAACTCATAAAAAGAAACAAATTTATAAAATGTACATTACAAGAAGTAGTTCTCCCACCCCACACTTAGCATATGCATAGCCCCCGATGCATGTAAAAATTTAAAGCAAAGTAGGGTGAAAAGAAAACTCCCTGCTAGTCAGATTTCTCCTCCTTAGCATGCCCGCCAACCGCACCTCCTGGCTCATCATCATCATCAGGTCCCAGGGGAACCAAAGCCATGGGCCCCGTGACTTCATTACCAATCTCATCCTCTGTGTCGGAGCCTTTGTAAGTGTTCTCATCCTCCGACGAGTGAACGGGGCTGCCAGGTGTAATCCCCAATATCTCTTTGGAAGAACTAGACTAATCATTGCGTAAATACATACGCTCATTGTCTGATACACCCATCCTGCTCATGAGTATATTTAAGGAGTTATAGAGATACTTGTTGAAGTTCTCATCCCTTTCATTACGTTCGGCCTGGTAATCTTAGACATAGTCTCCAACAAAGATGTGATGTCCATCAACCCCTTAGGAGCCTCCACAACCTCGTCATACCCGGGGTATTCAGGCACTTCCCGGGAAAATATATACTGCATGAGCAAGTTGCCAAAGAAGAATCGCTTGATCTGCCACCCAAATGATGTGCGGGCCATCTCCACTAGCATGATCTCACCCACATTGATGGGTCACCCAGTCATAAAAAAGAATATCACACACAGTCGAGCTCGAGTGCATTCACTGTTGTGTTCAACTGGCATGAGGCGGGCATGTACAAAATGTTGCCACACTTTGGCTGTCTTGTTGAAATCAAAGCGGATCATCTCAAGATGGGCATCACCCTTAGTTCTGGTCCACTTGGAATTTGAATCGACGCCATAAAATGTGTGATGTATCACCGTGTAGATTGGGCTTTTGACAAATTTTTGTAGCCTCCGCGGGTTAGAGTTCTCAACCCCCAAAAATTCACATAAGGACCGCCTATCCATTGGTACCTCCTTTCCACGGACCCATGACGTGAACAAGTCCGCATTCCAATTGGCATACAATTCTCGCA